TTCAATATTTTCGGGAGGAAACTTGTGTCACAAATACCTGATACCGAAGTTAGAGGTACAATATCAGACTATCAACCCACGGTCGTATCTAGAAATATCGAACTGTCTAGTCAAACTTTGAAGGAAATGCAAGGCACACATAGTTTCCTCATGGGTGAGTTGGAAAACTATGAGGATGGGAAGCATGAGATAGTGACTGACTTGGACGAAGATTCTGAGAAGCTGAGCTCATCTGGATTATTCGGAATCTTCAGTAAGAAAGATAAATCAGAAAGCCCAAAGATTTCGAAGAAAAAGTTGAAGAAAGGCAGAGGTGACAAATCTGTTGATGAACCAGAGAAGGCAGGTTTCTTTGGGAAAATTGGTAAAAAATTAGTTGGTATATCGACAGATACCAAAGAAGGTATCGATCAGAGTAGAACTGATGCTGAAGAAGACATGAAGCGATTGAAGGTCGACCATGATAAATCATTGTCTGCAGTGGGTACAATTACGGAAGAAAAACTAGATAAAACTGTGGAAAATGTTGAAGACAAGACCAAAGAGTTACAACAATCTATTGATGAAAGATATACAGCGGTGGAAGAATTGATTGATATTGCGGAAACAGAAGCTGATGAAAAAGCAACTGATATTTCAGGAGCTATTAAAGAAGCAGTTGTCGAAAGGGAAGCTGAAGTTGAAAATATCAAAATAAAATCATCAGGAGCTTTGAAAGAAGGGATAGAATCAGTTGAGAAAGCAGCCAAAACTTCTTCTGGATTTTTCAATAAGATTGGCGGGAAAATTAGTATCAAAAGCGAAAAACCAGGGAAAGACACTACCGCAGATACTACTTCAAAACGAGACAGTCTTGAAAGAACAGATCCCAAAAGTGATAAAGATAAGAAGATCAAAAAATCTGGTGGTTTTTTATCAAAAATTGGGGATAAAATGAAAGGAGAAGAAAGAGCTATCTCAGTTCCAGTAGCGGAAAAAACTGTTTCAGAAAAACTAGAAACAGCAAACATAGACTTTGATAAGAGGGCAGAATACGCCTCTGATAGTATCGCATCTGCATCTGGTATAGTGAGAGATGAATCGACAAATTTTGTTAATGATCTGTTACAAAAATTCGATGACAAACTAGGAAATATCAAAGACGATGGTGAAGACATCGTTAGACGAGGTGGAGATAGTATGGAGGAATTTGAGCGAAGAACGCAGAATATCAAAAAAGGTGTGACAGACCTATCAGAAAAAAAATTGAAAGAAGCTGAGGATAAATCAAGTGCTACTATTAAAGAAATAGACTCATTTGAACAAAGGATTGATGAGAAGTTCAGTGAAACGATGAAGCTAACTGAAGAACTTTCAAAGCAGACCTGCAAAAAATCATTCGATGGTGCTCAATTATTCGTAGACGAAGAAAAGAAACGTATAGACAGTGACATACACCAGCTTGAGAGAGACATAGAAGAAAAAACTGAGGAAGCACGAAGGACACTGGATGATGAAATAATATATGCACAAAAGGCTATCAAAATAAAGCAAGACCAAGTCAGTAACACCATGAAGGAAACAAAGCAAATGCTAGAAGATAATGCACAGAGAGAACTAGATGAAATCAATCAAAAAGCGACTACCACAATGAAAAATGGAACTGCGAAGACCAGTGACCTCCTAGGAGATGTGAAAAATAAGGTAGAAGTGGGAATCGCATCAACCGTTCAAAATGTGGAAGATGCTGCTAAAAGTTCAGATGAAACAGTTGACAAAATAGAGGGAAAGATGAAAACAGCTACGAAAGATATTAGCGATTCAATCAGAAGTGGAATAACAAGTACAAAGGAGACTACCAAGGCCACGACAAGTGACGTTGAACAAGCTGCAGGAAAATCTATCCAGAAAATTCAAGAGTCTGCCATCACGGCGACAGAAAAATCTAAGGGATTCTTCAGTAAACTAGGTGATAAAATGAGTGGAAAACATAAAGAAGTTGAAGATATATCAGAAAAATATGTGGGGGATGAAACACAAATTGCAAAGGATACTATCGAGCATGAAAGAGGTTTGGTACAAAATGAACCTCAAGAAGCAACTGAAACTTTGAAAGGAGCTGGAACACATATTGGTGAGGCTGTAGCTGAATCAAGCATGCACTCATCGGATGTACAGAAAAATGTCACGGAAAAGACTTCTAAAAAGGGAAAGAGTTTTCTTGGTAAACTAGGCAGGAAACTAAGTGGAAAAGGAGAGGAAATAAAATCAAAAGAGGAGTCAGTTGGAACGAAAGTTGAAGACTCAAGTGAAAGAGCAAAAGAGTCAATCGATTCTGCACGATCTGAAATAGAGAGTGAAAAACGTAAATCGAATAATATGACAAAAAGTATAAAGAAAGATGCTGAAGAGAAAATTGAAGACGCTCTTGTAGACATGACTGAGACACTAACGAAATCGAAAAGAATGCTTCAAGGAGCAGTTGATCATTCACAGCAGCAAGTGGATGTTGAAAAAAAGTATCCAGGTGGAACTACGATGGGTACGAAACTACAGCAGTTATCAGAGGCAAATAATAGTTTGAGAGAAGAGCTGACTCAAACAATAAAATGGACTAGTCAGAACGTTACAGAAAAAGCTGGTAAAAGCGGTGAAATTGAAGATGATGTTAATGAGCGAGCAGAACAAACAATATCAACAACACACGACAGACTGAGAGGCGCAGGTGATTTCATAGATACCGAAATATCGAATTTGGAAGCTGAATCAATCAGGACTGAGCCAACTGGTGCACTGAAAGAACAAACTACGAGGTTTGAGGATTCTGTCAACTTCCTGGAATCACAATGTCGAGATTGCGAAGACCCAAAAATGACTCGAGCAGTGTCAGACTACGGAGGCCAAATCAAAGAAGAATCTGAATCTCGTCGCATCTCAGAAACAAATATAGATCTATCAGATTTACCAACAAATGTTCTTGAATACACCAAAAGATCGTCTTCATACGTGTCTTCTCCGAGTATGGTGAGACGAACCGTCTCAACGAAGTTTCCTAAGGAAGGAGGTCCCAGAGTGATCGAAATAACGTATGACTCTTCTCTTGGAAGTAGTAGTGATGACTCTTACATAGTCACAGAGCCAGATGATGAAATAAGACGATCGAAAAGAAAGGCGTTGTTTCGTATGGAGTCGGAAGAAGACGATAGCTTGAATGCTACACAAGAGGATGACAGAAGAGACAGTTCGAAGTCCAACGTCCTTGAATCGTTGACAGAGCACAGATTAGAAAGCTTACTCAGTGACTTGACCGATTCAATGAAGCCTCTCGAAACAGGTATAAAAAAGGAGGAGGATAAGCTGAAGGAACATAAGAAAGAGTGCAAAGCTGAGGTGGAGTTGATAGAGAAAAAATTGCGTGACTTAGACGAAGCTTTAGATTCATTAGAGCAAGTAGATTTAGATATGCAGAGCGAGAGCGATGCGAAAATCGGAAAGAAACTGAAGAGGGTCGAGCGTAAGTTCGAGAGAATGTCATCAGAAGCGATGGAAAAGGATTCGACGGAAGGCAAAAAGGTGCAGCTGACCAGCCCAGAGATCGAAGAGAAACGCGAATCCGAATACCGAACACTGGTGTCACAGCTCAGCACAGAAGAGTTGTCTGACTTCCAGAAAGAATATGGCCACATGTGGGACGAGCACACCTTTTCTAAAAGCAGCGACTGGGAATCGAAAACACCAGATAGTCAAGCAGATGCTCAAGAACTTCCACAAGGTAGATGTTAGATGTCGCTTTGATAAAGAAACCATTTCTCTCACAAAATCATTCACGCCTTGTAGATTTCAACTGACACAATATATAACTAGTTAAAAATGATGTCAACCAGCATGTAGTTTAACCAATAAATATTTTCCTACCCATTTTCAACAAACATATCGGGGCAATAGGCACTAGCAAACATCTAGATTAGACCAAGAGGATACCCCGTGAAAGTATTTCATAAATCATCTCCATTCCAGACATACCTTATAATATGACCATAGTGAGTTATTTCTTCCTATGGAAAGCTCATAACCTATTGCTTCCACTATTATTATTAGTTATGAATATTTCAACTTGATGTTTATTTCCGGAAACCTTCAAGCAGATATAAGAGTAAATCCTAGTTCCCTTCCACATCCTATTCACCCTTTCTTGGTCTAATCTCAAATTCCCATCTACAATAGGCCATAGCACCACACATTGGAACAAGCTCACTGGAAAATTCACCAGCATTACTTCTCGTAGGTGATGTAGTGTATATGGGCCCCGTTAATTTGAACAAAGATAATTTGGTTAACAAAGCGGGAATAGAAGTTGACGTAATCCCCATTATGAGAAGCCCCTGTCCTTCCCCGAAACCTAGACATAAACAAAAACGCGCCAAATCGGAAATGGATTTTCACAAGGATGCAAGCCCAAACAAGTGCGACCATGGTAGTCTACCAGACTTGAAATCTTCACCACTTAAGACATCTCTGCTCAATACCGTGTTGCAAATGAATCCGGATAGGTTCTTGAGTACCGAATCATTGTTGAGTGGAGAGAACAGAATGGCTAGATCACTCGGTAGCAACGACTATCCTTCCAAAGGAAGTATCATGAACGCGGTGGCCAACTGGTTAGAGAAATCCAGTCCATTCGGATCCACAGACAACATAGACAATAACAGTATATCTACCATGGATACAAGCATGTCACTATTCGACGAAGATGAACTATTGGAGATATCCGAGGACAGGTCTAGATCCGAGCATCTAGTACCAGATATTCTATCATCGGAATCAGAAGACAGGCCTCTAGGTAACTTAGTGGAACAGTTTTTTACGTTAGATCCCAACACGACGGACCCGATATGTTTGATTTTTTGTTGCATGATATCGTACACTAAACTCTACATCAACTACCACCACTTGCGCACAGGCAAACTTTGGCTTTTCGATTTTCTTTAAACATTCATTCATTACCCTCCTATCGTTACCTTATGTTAACGTTCGTATCTACCGGTATCACGGTAAGTTTGGAGATAGATTGTTACCCAAATGCCTGTATGTGAAATTTGCTTAGAGAGGAACCCTTCTAACTTGTACTGCTAGTGTCCCGCTAACACGTTTAACCGCATTTTTAGAATCCAGCTGCGACCTACTAACCAATGCAGCTGTGCAACTAATCCCAGACGAGACTAACCAATTACCGCAACCTAAGCCACGAAACACTAAAACACCAGAAACACCATCACAAATCGTTCGAGAAGAGGAGAAGCCCGTATCTCCAGTACGAGACGATTTACTGGACGAAGATGTACCAGAAAGCTACTCAGACAAGAAGAAATTTTGGGAAACGGTGTCTCAGCAGCCAGCCCATAAGCGCATGAGCCTACAAGAAACAACATTAGATAAAGAGATAATGCCCAGCAAGCGAATATCGGTGCACGAGTTCTCACCTCTGCCCGTACCAAAACCTAGAACAGCCCTTCAATCTTCACAAAGTCTCATAGAAGGTGAAGAAACCACATCTAAGCTGAAAACAATCTTGCAGACTTCAGATAGCGTCGTGGAATCAGACGATCACAAGACTGTATCAGTCAAAGACAGAGCTGTGTCATTCGAGTCCTCTGCGAGCGATAGCAGTGGCCTAGTACAAACAGACCTAACTAGAATAACAGAGAGCGATACATCTCTGCAAGAAGAAAAAATCATGACAGAATACCAGGCATCGTTCCAAGCGCCTTCGGAAAGAACCAGCCCCAAAGAGAAACTCAGAGCGGAGTTCCAGAAAGCCGAGAGCATCGACAACACCGGTTATATATCTGACAGCGAGGACGTCGAACACTACATTTCCGATTCAGAAATCGAAGATAGGGTGCCTCAGATCAGAGACAGAATGATGAGCGTTTTCATACCCTCGGCGTCTTCAGCACGTAAATCTCTCTATGAAAGATCAGCTTCTCTACCCACGGAAGATCTTTACGAAGTATCTGCCAGAAGCATCAAAGCACGCAAAGACTACTACGAGGAACAGATAAGAAAAGAGATGATAGAGGAACAGTTGACTAGCGAAATAGAAGAAGATCCTTCTCCAGAGAGGAAAAATCTCATGACAAGTTCTGGCGATGATGAGCATACTGATGCTGACGCCAGAAGCATAGGAGAAGAAGTCGATGAGATCAGTGAAGACCCGACGAAGTCGAATGACATTTTCAAACCGACGAAAGGAAAAGAGCAAGAAGAAGAATCGTCCAGATCAGTTAGAAGTTTAGCTAGATCTTTCGAGGATAAGGTCACAACAGAAGTGATAAGTGAGATCAAAACTGATCAATCCTCTGACAAATCTACGGAACACTCGAGCAAAGAAGAAGTGAAATCCTCGGTCAAAGACTTAGCCAAAGGTTACGAAAAACAGCTAGGTAACGTTGTAGCTGGTCAACGTATAGGTCAGATGCCTTCAGAAATCAAAGGTTTTGTCCTCGACAAGCAAAAAATAGACGAGACAAAGTTCAAAGAACAAAGTCCCCATGACATAATCGATTTCATTGAAGTTACGGACCTTAGTTCAATGAAACAAGATTACGAAACGCACAAACCCGATCTTACGCACACCGTTGAACATCAATCTTCAATTCTATCATTCACACAACCTGAAACGCACAAAGAGATTGAGATTGATGATCAACAAAAACACTTAGAGTCTCAGCGAAGCGTATCTTCAGACAGAAGTGCTGAAACGATAGAAACGAGGGATGATAGTTATTCTACTAAACCCGATTCTATGGAAGTATTGGTAGACAAAAGCGAGATAGAAGATTCAGAAAAGATAGCGGACTTAGACCAGGACATCGAGGGAAGATCCATTGAATCTCTCGATGATGAGGTTATCCCAGAAATAACAGTTACACTTTCTGGAGCACAAAGGAGAATAAGTGAGGAGAGTGATGAATATGCTGAAAAATCAATGGAAATTCATGAAGATGCTTCCATTCCAGAGAAAACTGAAACAGAAGAAGCTGTGAAGCTACCTCAGGAAAGTTTTCAGGATACAGTTTGGGAAGTCTCAATAGAATCGCCATCTGGAGTTGAATTTAATGAGACTGTTGAAGATATAGCTCCCAAAATACAAAAGGAAATTATGGAACAATTTTTGATTAGAGAGAAAAGTGAAGATATTACAGAATCATCCATAACACAAAAAGAATGCATCACAAAATACAATGATCCTGAACCAGCTACTACAAGAAAAGAAGAATCGTCTTCGACTAACACAAAGTCACCCAAGGAAGAAAAAAAAGATGATATTGTAATGACCGAAGTAGAAGTATCCATCGAGAAAATCCCAGAAGATTCAAAAATATTGACTCCCGAGAAAAACGATTCAAAAGAAGTAGACCTATCTTTCAAACATGAGTTCATGCAAGTAATGGAACAGCAAGATGAGCTCTCAGAGCTCCTAGAAGCTAAACTGAAACAACAATCTGTGGACACACCGTCTCAAGAACATCTGAGTACCGAAGTCTCAGAAGAACATCAGAGCAGCCTACTGACAGTCGAGAAAGATGATGATCTCAGTAGCAGCGTCAAGGACGAATCCGATCTGGGCTCTGAAATACACCAAGACCACTCAGTTTCAGACGAATCAGAAAGAATAAAATCTGAGAGCCACAATGACATCGAAAAAATTATCCTAGATAGCTTACACCAACAGAGAGTTGATCCAGAAGAAGCCAAGAAAATAGCGAACTCATTGTTAGAAGAAATCGAAGCTGAAATTCTCAAGCGAGAGTCTCACCAAGTCGAATTTTCTGAAAGGCCTGTCCAGCCGATGGAAAGAGTTCGAGCTTCTGAATTCCTGCAGAGATTAGCTGAATCTAAAGGCCTGGATGATAGAGAAGTAGAACTAGTCCAATCGGTGCTAGCTAGACGACAGCGAGGATTATCTAGACTAACCAGAGGCGATACTGCTTCTAGCATGGAGATAACTGATGAGGACTTGAGATACAGCGGGGGAGAACTTGATTATTCCCATGTATTGGAACAGCAAATGGACCAACTAGAAGCTGAAAAAATAAACGATATTCACTTGGACTACAACAGCTTCGAGGAACAAGCCAAACGGTTTCAAGATAGATCTGGGTTCGTAGATAAAATAAATGAAGAACATAGTGAAGAAACTGAGTCTTCAGAGGACTATGGAAGTTACGAAAACGCACATACCAAGTCGTTCAAGAAAGACGTTGTCATGAGATCCAGTGATGCTGTGAAAGGAGAGAAAATCATGACCGAGGTCAGAGAAGTTCATTTCGATGACAATAAACATATCACAGATACTGTGACGAATGCAGATGACAAACTAGAAACTTTTGTTGGCACAACCGTCAAAGAAGTCACCCATGAGAGGACTGATGGCGAAGAAAAGATGAAATCGCAAGTGGGATCTATCAGAGCGTTGACTGACCACTTGTCTAAAACAACTACAGAAAAAACTGCTTTGATCACTGAGGATGTTGTTATGGAACATGTCAAAACCCAGGGGAATGGTGAAGATTCTTCGATAATATCAGCTACTTTCGAATCTGAAACGAAAACAACTGAGCTGAATGATGATACATTGAAGGAAACTAGCTCGAGACAAGAGAAAGAGTACGACGAAGTGAATAAGAAGCAGCAAGAAATCAACAGAAAGGAAAGCAGCAAAATCCAAACACGAGATGACGGCACCGAGGTTGAAACAAGAGTGTCCGTCGATAAAACTCATACAGTAACTAGTAATAAGGTGACGCATAAAGATCGCATTCACGAAGAAGTAAAATCAGTTTCCAGTACAGTTATCTACGACGGTGAAGACTTTGAAAAACTCATTTCTCAGGCATCACCAGAATCCCTATTCATCACAACTCACGAAGTCGTCAGGAGAACTTCAAGCAGCGAGTCAAAGTCCAGTACTGAAGCCAAATCCCCTGAGGACACATCTTCCAGCAAGATAGACGACAAAGTTATACCTAAAATGCCCGATGTCATCTTCAGGAGAGGCAGATCGGATGTCGATACCAGCAGTAGCAGCTCAAACTTGAAACCAGACCGGAAATCTGGAGTGGACCTCGAAGCATATTCGAGCTCCGGAGAAAGTCACTACCACAGCTTCGAGATGGACAGCGGTAAAAGTAGACCTTGCTCTTCAGATGTTGAAGGCTTAGTAGCAGCCGGGTCTTCTGAGTACGAAAGTGCGCTAACGTCACAAGAATTTTCAGCTAGGTCTCACATAACTTCCACGGAGTACCAAACCGCAGTGAGCAGCATCAGCTCTAAAGGCAGCATGAAGAGTTTGGACAGTGAGAGCTCAGGAAACTTAGCTAGTGTTGAGACATCCGAACACTCTGAGACCCTAGTTCCATCCTCGAGCGACCTGGAAGATATCCTTGATTCTGTAGACCAACAAATCCTTGATGATGTCGAACAGAGTACAGGATGGACTAATCACGCGCCTGCTATACGACAGAGTACTGAAGTAAGCGACTCGGAGCTCTTATCGTACCCAGGTGTAGGCGAATCCTTAGACGTCTCCGAGGAAGAGTCCATAGATATAAAAGCTCTAGATGTACAGTCGAAAATGAAAAGATCCCATGAGATGACCTTCCAGCCTGAGCCAAGGGCACTCGTACCGGATTCACCCCAAGGAGAAGATAAACTTGGCACCAGTTTAGATGAGGGTAGCGTTCTGAGCGTAAGTGTATCGAGTACTTCCAGTGCTGGGGCACAAAGAACTGTCATAGAGCTATCTAGAGCGGATTCCGAACGTCTAGATGGAAGCATGACTGTTTCCGGTACGTCCGAGCATCTCAGCTTGGATGACATTGAGAACATGCCACGAGGAAGCAGAGAGAGTCTCATCACCACTCCAGTAGCACAAAATTCTGATATTTCCACTTCAATCGGTCACATTCCTCCTGATTTGCAAGTGGAATCTGTAACACTACAAACCGCGATCATCCACGAAAATGGAATACAGAGTGTCAGTACACAGGTGACATCAGAAAATCAGTCTCCTGTCGAAGAGGTACCACCACTCAAGTCCGAAGAGCCCAAGAAGAAAGGCCACAGACGCACAGATAGTTCTTTCACGAGCTCAATGATAAGTCCGACTACACGAGCTGAGGTCGAAAGGAAGATACATTCGGATTTGGCTGAAAGCGACAAGTACACAACGAAGCTGAGCTTCAAGGAAACCAGCTATGACGAGAAGAAAGACGTAGATGAGAGTGAGAAGGAAGAAAGCTATGAAACAGAAGCCGATCAGGGTCTACAGAGAGATTACCGTGAAGGTCGCTATCAAGATACTGAATCAGATAACGAACAGGATAACTTGGATGTGTCAAGACCCCAGTCTCGATTCAGTAAATCTGATTCAGAACGACCGACTTCGACTGCTTTCTCAGACGATAGACCTGATTCAGAACTTGCAGATCTGATAGTCAAATCTTCGGATGTAACTGAGATTACAGATCCGATAGAGCGACCAATCACTCCTGAACCTTGTGAGGAACCTAAACAGGACACACCGGATCTCCAGCCTGAAGTTCTAGCTTGCGTTGATGAACTAGATCATGAATATACCTCAACTCTAACGCGCTTGCATGAAGCGAACATAATAGAAACGACTCGGCGATCTATTACCAGCTTCTCGGATATATACCCCACGAAAGACGTCTTGGAAAAACGTGATTCTCATGGAAAGTCAAGTAGCACGTCCAGTGAAAAATCCAGCTTCGAAGAAGCCGAAGCTGATGCTGCCTTCAACATGGTACCTCATATCTCCCCAGCTCACAAGATCAAGCAGATCTGTCCGATACTTGAGGATGAGGACGCGGAAAAACATGAACTGGAGACCAGAGAAAGAGCTCAGAAAGAATTTGAAGAAAAAAGAGCTCAGATTCTGAGAGACGTTAGTCCTGGGTTCGTTCCAGATATCAAAATAACTCAGCATATGGCACCACTTGTGGATGATAGCTTCACATACCCCGACTTGGATTTGGAAGCCAAAGAAAGAGAGCCATCAAGTACTGTTGAAACTCCTCAAACTCCCGCTTCTAACTCCAGCAAAAGTTCCGAGGAAACGGATCAGGGCAGAGAGTATATCCTAGACGAATCTGTATCTACTATTCCTGAAGAACCAGAAGCGGAGAAAGTGATGACGGAGTCTAAAAGTGAGGTCGGTACTGTTATAGAAACCACACTCAAGGAAGTTCCGGATAGAGAAACGGACTCCCCAAGTAGCGATTCATTCGAAATGCTGGAGAAACCAGATCTCATCGACGACTTCGTGGTGATAGAAGAAGTAGGGAAAGAAGCTGAAGAAACAGATGCCGAGGGAAAAAGTGTCCATATAGGACACACGATTAGAAAAAAGGAGATTCACGACCAAGAAGTCGAGCACTACCTAGCACACTCGGCACCTACACCCTTGACTAAGATCAAATATTATCCAGACGGCACCTCCTCAAGCGAAGAGCTCGGTTTCGACTTCGAAGACAGCCCTCCTCAAGCTGATCAGAAGAACGCCGGAGTTTCCACCAAAGCAGGTATCGCAACTTACGGTTCTGAATACGACAAAGAGCTGGAAGCTAATAGGAAATGGATTGAACAGCAATTCCAAGGTGACCAAGCGGCCATGATGGCAGCAGGCTATGGCTACGATATAGATTTCGAGAGAGGACCGCTCGAAGATATTAAGGAAGAGGACGTGAATGATTTTGCCGCCTCCAGTTACGGTTCACAGAGGGATTCTGGAGGCAGCTTGAAAGAATCTTATTCTAGTACTCCAGAATACGATGTCCTAGCTGGTAGAAAGTACTTCACCAGATCTGGGGAGCATGATGATGTTTCCATGTCCAGCTTGCAGGAGTTCGAGAATTTAGAGAAAGCCATGTCTCTTGAGATGCGCAAGTTCCATACAGGCTCGCAAGATTCCTCAAGCAACGGTAGCTTCAAGGCGAGGTACTTCACTAGCAAGAGTGGACAGGGTGATGACGTCTCGGGTAGTTCGCTCAAAGAATTCGAAGGTCTAGAGAAAGCTTGTATCGCAGCGCACACTATCGAGATAAAAGTTAAAGAAGAAGAAGCTTTGCTAGCACATATCGAAGAAGGGCAAGAGAGTCTAGCGTCAGAGTCTGAAAGTTGTGAAACGATGTCTGGTACTGAGAAGAAAGTTGTCACTGACACAGATGATGAAGAAGATTACGAAAAAAGGATGATCGAAATTGATGAAATTATTAAACAAGCGCAAACTAACGTCGAGAGATTCGTAGACCTCAAAGAAGCTGAAAAGACGGAATCTCTGGGTAGAGGTGACTCTGTTGAGGAAGTTTCTAAGGTACCAGACCTTGACCTTGACGCTCCGCTTGTCAAAACCGCGGTGAAGGTTCAATGGAAAGAAGGCGATGATGTAATGGTCACTTCGACTGACTCCCTAGATTTACAACAAGAAAAACCTAGCCGACACGACAGTACAGATAGCTTGGATCAGAAAACCGGAGGAGATATCATGACGGCCAGTACAGATTCTATAGAATTCCAAGTGCAGAAATCTGCGAAAGATGACAATATAATGACTGACAGCATTGAAATGAGGGGGGAAGAGAAGAGCTACATGGTATCGAGCGATTCTCTTGACTTGGCTTGTGCAGGAAGCTCTGGTAATAACATAATGCAAAGCGATTCCATAGATGAGGATGGATCGAGAATAGGCATCCATGACAACAGTAGTTCGAGTACCGGCAAAGACTTTAGTTCTTCTGGAAAAGAAGATGTAGAGCCCGATCACTTGTTGAGTGACATTATAGATGTGACCAGCTCAACTGCAACTCATGCTACATACCAATACGACACTGATTCCGTATTCTCAGGGAGCTTCACTAGTGGTGGCTCTAACACCATGGTGTCCTCGACCAATTCAATAGATCAAGCTAGACAAGCTACTTCTACCGTAGATGTAGCAGCAGCTGTGAGAAAAGTATGGTTCGATGAAGAAATAAGCGGACGAACCACCACCGATTATATTGACGATTCTAAACCTTATGTAACGGAAATCATTGAGCCTAGCGAGGAAGAAGGCTTTTCCCATACTATACACCGACGTGTAGAACTACCTCCGGAAGTTCGTAAAGTAACTTTCACTGGCACTGGCGCTGATGATAGGTTGCAGCAGTTCATCCAGGATTTCAATGAGGGAGAAGAAACTCAAGAGACCGAGGAAGTCGATGAAGCTGGTAACGTGCACATCAAAAAGGTCGTTCAGAGGAGATTCATCGTCCGAAACGATGGGTCCGAACAGCCGATGTCAGGTCCGGAGATCGAGGAGTACTTCAGGCAGCTCAACCAACCCGACATTGTACAAGGTCAAGGGGTTATTTCGAGGACTACTACTGAGGGACGTGGTTTCATTACCAAGACAGTCACAGATGGACAAGGCAGCAAGACGACTATCACGCAGCAGTTCGACATTCCTACTAACCAACTAACAAGAATTGTGCCAGGTTGGTTTGAAATAATAACCCGGTATTAAGTTCCCTACCATTTTTGTAGAGCGTTTTTTTTAAATTGGATTTTGAGTTACTTTGAGTTGAGTCCTGTTGATTTTTTGGTAAGTTATTTTAGGTTTGCATGGTATTCACACTCGCATGCTTTGGTATGGGACTTGCACCCAAAGACAAGAATGTTGATCTGTCCAATTTCTAACGGTTTTGTGGTTTATAGGTGGTGATGATGGTGCTACCTCCAGTACCCCTAAAGAGTCAGCTGCTCCAACAGTTAAACGTGAGTTTCTTCAGTAAATACCTCAATTTAGACATTCTAGATGCAATCGTACATACGCTTTGAGACCAACAGAATGTAATAACCTAACTTTTTTGTATATTCAATGTATTTCAAGACTGCCATTTGGATTGGCTAATTGCTTTGCATTCATGAAGGCAAAAGATCGCTTTAATGTTATCGAATTAGTAGAAAATGTGGAGTACTTGTTGATCCAAATGGTAACTTTTGAAAGACCTAGTATCTTGATGGTTCTGTTTGGTGTACAGCCCAAGTGAACCGTAGAAGACAGCTTCGATATGAGATCAGTGTAGAGGATCAAACAGAGGTGGACCCCAGAGAACACGATTGGCGCTTTAATTTGCCCAAACATGGTAGATAGGTTATGTTTTATGAATGTTACACTGTATCGGTATCACTAGAAATCGGTGTTGTGACTCTGTGGTGTCAGTATCTACTTTGTCTAGGAATCATAGAGAGGGTTTCAAAATCAGTCTATCACAAAACGCCTACATGCCTAGGTTGAAAAATTTCCAATCGAGTTGGGGCTTGACTAAAATAGGGAAGCACTAAACATGGAAAATATTTGCATATCAGAGCACGAAGGTGTCTATAAGTACTGAGTGCGAGAAACTATAAAGTTTTGTTTTTGGTCCCTATGACGTCGAATTCACACCTGTACCTACTTAAAGTTATCTTTTTTCAGGAACAGTCATCATTCCACACTGAAATCGACACGCCCAAAATCTCTATTTGGTTTTGCCCCAAGCCTTTATCTGTCGCTATAGATACAAATACATTCGTTCTTCTAGTGATGACGATACCAATCCTATATACATGTTCACCACATTTTTCTTCATTTTGTGTCTGTTGTGTCATGTCCAAATTTTGGCTACTTGCATACAGGGTGAACCAGATGGGAGAAATCTCTAGTACACCCTGTATACGCTGTTAACGCGATTTGTGAACATGTGTCGTTCAAAGTTATCCACTATAGCATTTGTGAGTAGTACAGGAAGATATTTATTCGAGGATAATATGGATTGCATAAGACATGAAAACTTGAATTTGCGTTTACAAGCCTCGGTTGAAACTAAATTTGTTTATTATCGTTTGAAGTTTGAACATTAGTACCAGAATGGTTAGATCCAAAGTATTCGATGATTTATTAACATAATATTGATGTTGAATGTGTATGATATTTCAATGTTCTTATACGCATGTTCCAAATTAACACTAACAGCCAGTATTCTTGAGAAACCCTTCCAGTATTGGTCTTATAACCTTATTCACATAATACGAACCCATCAATGGAGGATTATTTGAAAAGCTTAACACTATCTTTGGCAAGAATATGTCATTCGATTAACAGAAAGCTGAGTGATCCTATAATAATCCTTCATTAACTTGTAATCAGATTGTGTTCAAAGATGGTTCTACGAGGTGTCCCAAAACAAAGTATCATAAATTCTACAGGGTGAACTAGAGAGCAAAATAGGCTGATTGAAATCAACTCACCTCTATATCAAAATGTAGGGTCCGGACAGATCATAGCTCCTTTCTCCTTTAATCATCTAGTGACTTTGGTTTCGTGGATTGGCGTCCCTGACATATGATATTGCAAATGTGAAAACTTCACAAACGATAAGATTTCCACAAGATTTTCATTTGGATATAATAAGTAGAGTTGAATGGGAAATTACGTGTTGAAATTACGTATGATACGCCAATGTCCTCAATATAACCTAAAAAACAACAAATGTCAGAAATCTAGTCTCTATCCCCGGAAATGAATGAAGATGGAACGAGGAGGCGAGGACCTGTCCGTACCCTGTTAAGATGACAAATACGTCAATATACATCGATGGATCCTATGAAAATGCACTGTTGAGCTGTGAGAGGGCGATGAAGAACAATTGTATAACAGATTCTCTTCAATATGTATTCCAAAATTCTTCAAAGTTTCTGCTCTGATATTCGTAGCGCAATTCACTATAGTGAATGTGCATGAAAAACAGTTAGGTATTTCTCATTATCTTTGATATAAATCAATATGCGGATTTTTGAACATGACTATTGTGGTCAAGACCTTAACAGAAATGAGGTGCAAACGTGCAAAATATGATAATTCCAACATCATAAACGTGTAGTAAGGAAAACCACCGAAATTAATCTTCTTAATCACCACGAAAACTAAAAAAAATAGTACAATGACTGCAGTAAGAAAAAAGTGAGATGATTCATTTTTTCATTCTCCAAAAGAGTTACATCATTTTTTATCAAAGAGTATGCGAAATAACTAACTCCCTGTACATTGATTGAATTCATATGACTTGTTTTCCATGCACATTCAATATAATGAATTGCCCTATGGATGTCGGAGCAGTACCTTCCGGGATTTCGGAATATTGAAGAAATTCTGGGAATAAAATTGTTTTTTATCGCCCTCTCACATCTCAACTGTTCAGTTTTCGTATGAGAGGTATGTTGATTTCAGTCGGCCTATTTTGGTCTCTAGTTCACTCTGTAGAATTTATGGTACATTGTTCTGGGACACCTTGTATATCAATCATCAAGTATCACATTTATTTCATGTATTTTTCACCTTATTCTCATTGTTTCTTGGTACTGTGTATATACATATATATAATCCCTTTTCGTAATTGATTTATCATTATTGTATATATTCACATCATACTTAAAATTCTCCTCATACATAGTAGTTCCTACAGAGTGGTTTTGTATATTGAGATAGAAACAATTTTTGAGGATAAACAAAGTATTTCCATAGTTGAATAACCAAATGTGGAAAATCTCTACTAATGTTCGTGTTTTTTCACCGTCCACCCTATAGTTGCTACAGGAGAATTCGTCTGCTTGTTTTTCCATGAAATATCCATTTTTCTAAAAATATTCCCCAATTCCAGAAATCGTTTCTTAGCTAGTTTTGTACATATTCCAGATTTGGATAATACTTTCTGCAGTGCACTTTCTCTTACTGTTCAGCATGTGCCTGTTTTGCAATTTTAGATTTTTCAACATTTTCTTTATTTTTCAGCTGAAGGAGAGGAAGGAGCTGAAAGAGATGAACCAGGAAGTGAAAGGTAAACATTCAGGGAAAAATTCTTCGCAAAAGCAACCAATTATATTTTCTTTTGTCTTGGAAAATAACTGAACTCTTTTACAAGACTCGTAAAGGTATTCCCTCTCGAGCCAAAAAAACCTCACTGGCAAAAACAGCCAGGAAAACAATTTGCCAAATTGGTCGCCCTGTAACTTCACCGTAGATTAATGTTTCGAAATGTTAGCCTGAATTTCTGTACCCAAAAAAGCTGATGACTTGATCATTATACAAGCAAAAAACGATAGTCAAGGTATGCTCATGCTTGTAAGAATTGATGTATCCGTCAAACAATAATATGTTCAAAAATCAGCGACAAAATTCACGAAATAGACCTTTTCGATAATTTCATTGGTGTAATAGTGATGATTCAAGTTCTAAGTAATATTGAGGAAACAGCATAAAATGCACATCGTTCATCCATATTTCAATTTCGTATTGTTGGATTTATTCAACATCTGCATAGTCCTAGTCTTATTAGTTCTAAGCATAGTCTTAATATCAATTTTTGTCTTAAAGATTTGAGGTATTTATCCAGAAACATCAAAAATTGATTCAATCATAAGAGTCATGTGGAAATTTGTGGTTCTTTTTGTATCAGAGATGAGGAAAATTATCTATCAAACTTATCAACAGCTGAGCTATTCCATAATATTGTTTTCGGAACATGTAAACAACAATAAATTATCAACAATTTTATCAGAGGAGCATGCGCCAAATCCACATAACATAAGCATTAGCATTGAAGTTCAAATTACTCAACTTTCAAGGTCGTTTCTTAGGCTTGTTCTTATGCTTGAGACTGAAATTGGTGTGTGAACGTCCTCATGCAAGTACTTTGTTTCAACTTTCTAGTTATGCTTGAAATTATGACTAAGACTACCTATATGATTGGGAGAAATCAACATTTCATCATCATATTCATGTTTTATCCCACGTTACGTAAAGTTAAGATGTTTCCGAATTCCTGTCAGCTTCGAAAAGTGTCAAATTGCATGTCAAAATAAGAAAAATATATCTACTCCTTATTAAAGTAATGGTGTCCAGACCACTGGCGTAACTCATCAGAGCTAGGGGGGGGGGGCTATAGAAAGGACTTGGTCTATTATAAGCTAAGGATGTGATCTAGGATATAGCCTATTTATGAATTATTTTATTGGAAATAAATCCACAATCGGGTGAGCTTTTTGAACTTACATAATATCACCTGCTTAATACGGTTCTGGATTTGAATACGCCGTCCGAAAGGTATGAAATTAAATTGTATTTTTATGGCTTCAGAGGATTTTCCTACCCATATAAGTTTATAAAACTCCTTGGGAGTTTACTCTGTTGATATTTCATTTATTTTCTTCATTCCCTAAACAAGCAACAAATTATTGCCTACCACAGATAGACAGAAGGCAGAAGGCCAAAATAAATTTTCAATTCACAACTTACCTTTTGTCCTTTTTTCACTATTTCACTGTACTTTGAGTATTGTCACAGTAATAAAGCCTATATAATGACAAAAATTAAGAAAGAGTTGTGCTCAAGATTTCAATATAAGTAATGTTATAACCTGTCTCTATCTCTACCGATCTGATCTACTGAACTGAAGCGTGAAGCGTGCTGTGAACCTGAACCGTGATACCGTGAAAGATACCTGGGAATCACAGGGAAAACCGAATGTAACTGTGATGTAGTAGTAGTAAGTTAGTATTAGTAAGAATGCAGGTTGCTGGGTCACACTTTCAACAAGGTACTTTTTCGTTTGTTTTGAATATTGCTTTTTGGAATAAAAGTTTAGTTCCACAAAATATTGATTTTATTGATACACAACAAATTTGGCGACGAGGAAAATAATAAACCAAAGGAATAAAAATATATGGAAAGAGAAATGACGGAGAATCATCAAAAGAATATTACGGTAGTGAGCTCAGGGAATGTTGCATCTTTACCAAATTTTCGACCAGAGGATGATTGGGAGATCTTTGAAGAGAGACTTGAGCAGTTCTTTTTGGCTAACATGATTGACCATGAAAGAACTGTGGCTGTATTGTTGACATCAATATGTGAAGATGTATATAAAATTCTGAAAAATCTTTGTTATCCTCAGAAACCGAAGGAAAAAACATATGCTGAATTGATTAAGTTACTTTCTGATCAGTTCCGAATTAGACAAACTACATATAGAAGAAGAATTCAGTTTGATTCTTTGAAGCAAGGAATGGAATCTATAAATGATTGGTATGTTAAAGTGAAGAATATTGCTGCTAAGTGTGAATTTGTTGGAGACATGTTTATGGAAAGAGTCAAAGACAAATTTGTTACTGGTATGAAGAAAGGACCTATCTTGGATCGATTGTGTGAAGAAAGTCCGATAAAAAAGAGTTTGCCAGAGCTGCTGGAGCTGGCATTGAATAGAGAAGCTATGTTGAAGGAGATTGGAAGAGCAGACGAGATCAATCGGCTCCAGAGAGTTAAAAATTCAGATAGAGATTTTGGGTCGAATAGGGTATTGTTATGTTTTCACTGTAATAAGCCTAATCATGATTTCAAATTTTGTAAATTCAGAAAGTCAAAGTGTGACAAGTGTCAGATTTTTGGACATATTGCTCCGGCATGTAAAAACAATATTGATAAAAATAATTTCATTGAAGAAGAAGCAGTTTGCAGTGGGAATCATAATGATTCAGATATTTCATCTACTGAGGGAAATTATTCCGAAATGTTTAATATTTTTGATAACTATAACTATGTTAAACCAATTGTTGTAGATGTCATTCTACAGGGTATTCCATTGCAGATGGAATGTGATACTGGTGCTGGATTGTCTTGCATGCCATGGAAATTATATAAAGAAAAGTTTTCTAAGGTAGATTTGGAATCAACAGATATAAAATTGAAAACATATGGGGGGAATGTGATAATACCGAAAGGTAAAGTATCTTTAGATATGAATATTGAAGGGATTTCGAAGCTTTCTCAGATGTTAGTTGTTGAAAATGCCACGAAAGTTTTAATGGGGAGAGATATTTTGAAGCAGTTCAATATTAATTTGCATAATAATCAGGTTTTCATTGGAAACATTAGTTATGATAATAAAAATCTTGAAAATTTATTAGGAGAATTTGATGATTTATTCCAAAATAAACTAGGAGTATATAAGGGAAATGAAATCAAGTTGGAATTGATTGATAATGTAAAAGAAATTTTTCATAAACCGAGACCTGTCCCTTTTGCATTTAGAGATAAGGTAAAGGAGGAGATTTCTCGTCTTGAGAAAGAAGGGGTTATTCAGAAAGTTTTACATTCTGATTGGGGCACACCGTTAGTACCAGTTTTGAAACCTAATGGTAGTATAAGACTGTGTGCAAATTATAAGATCACAGTAAATAAATATTTGAAAGATGTTAACCATCCTTTACCAAGAATTGATGAGATTTTCTCTGCCTTGCAAGGTGGTCAGAAGTTCACCAAACTGGATATAATGAATGCATATAATCAGCTGAGAGTAGATGAACAAACAGGAAATTTACTAGCTTGGAGTACACAGTATGGTATTTTTAAACTAAATAGACTTCCATTTGGAACAAAACCGGCATGTTCAATTTTTCAGGCTACTCTTGAGAAAGTTTTGCAAGGGGTAAAAGGGGTAGTAAATTTTATGGATGATATAGTTGTTACGGGGAAAACTGAGAAGGATCACTTGAGTAATTTGAAAGAAGTGTTGACTAGGTTGAGGAATGCAGGATTCACTTTGAATAAAAATAAATGCGAGTTTTTCAAAACGAGTATAAAGTATTTAGGGCATATAATTAATTCAGAAGGATTAAGGAAATGTGAAGATAAAACTGAAGCTATTTTGAATTGCCCAGTTCCCAAAAATACAACTGAAGTAAGAGCATTCACTGGATTGATTAATTATTATTCTAAATTTATACCTAATTTATCAGAGAAATTAAAGCCTCTGTATGATTTGTTTAAAAAAAATACAATATTCAAGTGGACATCGGCATGTCAGAATGCTTTTGAGCTGTCAAAGAAAGAAGTTACATCGGACAAGGTGCTAGTCCATTACGATGCGTCTTTGCCTTTACGCTTAACTTGTGATGCTAGTCAATTTGGAATTGGGGCAGTTCTATCGCATGTGATGTCAGATGGGTCAGATAAGCCTATTAGTTTTATCTCTAGAATATTGAATGATTCAGAAAAAAATTATTCTATGATACACAAGGAAGCATTGAGTATTTATTGGGCGGTTCAGAAGTTTCATCAATTCTTGGTGGGTCGCAAGTTTGAACTATTGTCGGATCACGAGCCATTGTTAGCTTTATTTGGAGAGCATAAAAGTTCACCTCAGTTAGCTGCAGGTAGATTACAATGTTGGTCATTATTTCCATCTGGATTTGATTACAAGTTCAAGTATATTAAGGGTGATGAAAATGTTCTGGCGGATGCTTTATCTAGATTACCGTTACCTAAAGAGCAATTGGATATAGAGCATGATGATTTTGATTATCAGAATTTCATGGAAAAAACTTTACCAATTGATGTTAATAGGGTTAGATTTGAAACTCGAAAAGATCCAATTCTTGGAGAAATTTATAATTATATTCGGTATGGTTTTCCTGATAATTCGGAGGATGAACTTTTGAAACAGTATATGAATAAAAAGCATGAACTATCTATTGATCAAGGCGTGATAATGTGGGGTTATAGAGTTGTAGTACCGACGAAACTTAGGAATCAATTATTAGGGGAGCTCCATAGTACCCATGAAGGGATGGCAAAAATGAAAGCCAATGCAAGAGCTTATTTCTGGTGGCCTTGTTTGGATTCTGACATTGAAAAGTTTGTGAATACATGTACTGTATGTTTTTCTAGTAGACCTGAACCACCAAAAGCTAAAGTAGTACCATGTGAGAAATCTAAATATTTTTTTGAACGCATTCATGCAGATTTTCTGGGTCCTTTTCATGGGAAGATGATTTTATTGATCACTGATACATATTCGAAATGGTTAGAAACTTTCATTATGAATAAAACTGACTCCAAATCTACCATAGAAAAGTTTAGAGAGTGTTTTGCTCGCTTTGGTTTGCCGAGAATAGTGGTTACGGATAATGGTACTTCTTTTTCGTCTGAACAATTCTCACTATTTTTATCAAATAATGGAATTCATCATTTGTCATCTCCACCGTATCACCCTGCAACAAATGGTTGTGCAGAAAATGCAGTCAAAAGTTTTAAATATGGACTTTCTAAAGCCCTGAAGGATGATATCAACTGTGATGTTAGTTTTGAAACAATAATGAATAGATATATATTTCATTACAGAAATTCGGTGCATATGACTACAGGGGTATCACCCTCTAGTTTAGTATTTCGTAACAAGGTTAGAACCAGGCTAGATTTATTGAATAGTAGAAATAGTGAAGGCAAAAATTTGCAAAATTATAAAGGAAACAGAGAAGAAATATTTAGTGTGGGAGACCGTGTATATTGTAGAGATTATAGAATTCCAAACAAAAAAGGATGGGTGAAATGTAAAATTGATGAAGTTTTGGGAGACAGAATTTACTTTTGCAAAGTGTTGAATGAGGATATATGCTGGAAGAGACATTTAGATCAAATAATGAGAGATAAGTCTGTTGGGGGAACTGAAAAGGGTGGTATTGATTTTTCAAGGGAACATTGGATGGGAGAGTATGAAACTGATCAGAATGGAAATGCCGCAAATGTGGAGGAATTGAATAATGACCAGGAAAGTAATGATTCTGATAAAAGTGTGAGAGACGAGGAAGAGTTAGTGAGAGGAGGAAGGGCATGTCCTAATGGATCTAGTGCCAATGTTATAGGTGAAGATAACAGGTTGAATGAAAGGTTGAATGAAAGAATCTTTGGGGAAGAAACAGAAGGTAGACCGAAACGAATAATTAAACCTCCAGTACGTTTGAATTTGTGAGGAGGGATATTGTGATGTAGTAGTAGTAAGTTAGTATTAGTAAGAATGCAGGTTGCTGGGTCACACTTTCAACAAGGTACTTTTTCGTCTGTTTTGAATATTGCTTTTTGGAATAAAAGTTTAGTTCCACAAAATATTGATTTTATTGATACACAACAGTAACTAGAGTCTACGGCTTGCGCATTCTGAGGAGACGAACTTACTCGAACGTAATAATGTCCTTGACTAACAGAATTTCTCAAGAAACACGTCAATGTTTGATGAATCATTAATGAATATAGAGGGATCCATATTGATGAATATAGAATATGAAAAAAAAATAAAAAAAGAATACAGGGATCCGTATATTAACAAGTTTAACAAAAATTAGGGCATACAAAGTTGAATGTGAAATTAAAATATTCTATCTGGGCAGTAACTTGGTGATGAAAATGCTTTTTGGTCTGCAAAAGTTCCTTTATACTCCTGCTGATGTAGGCGATGTAGGTTTATATTTAGATCAAAAGTTGTTCTTAACAATATGTGGTGTAGTTAGTTTATAATATGGTTTTGTAGAACTGGAGATAGGTAGCTTTACGTATGCCTACAAAGTTTTCAAAAGTAAAAGTCGATATACTATTCGTTAATTTGGTCATTATCCATGGAGCTACAAATGTCAGCTAGTTGAGCTAGTTAAAAGGGCAAACTATACCAATTAGGGGTCGTATTTTTTGCGCTGATTTTACAATGAGGAAATCGAAAGAAAAATCGCGTTAACGAGTTATGTCGAAAGGTTAATATTTTTCTTAATAGGACACACTATTTCCAATCGTGAGGAAATTCGATTCAGAACGAAAACTATCTCATGATGTTTAATCGTGAATTAAAATATTACTATTTGCTATCCAGTGTGAAAACCCTGTATAATATTTTATATTAAATACGTTCTACATAATATATCCATCCAACTGAACGTGATAAGTGCGTATTGATGGGTTCAATACGCACTTATCACGTTCAGTTTTCAATCAGAATCAAACAACATGATACATGAATTTTAACATCTAATTTGAAAGACATCAAGCAGTGGTCGAGTATTTAAACAAAATTGAGTAAAAATCTGATGCATGGGTGCACCACAAAAAAATGTTAAAAGACCTGAAACAGACTGATTTCTGTTGTGAATATGATCTGAATTTATCTGTTTGGATCATGAGGTATTTCCTTTTTTTTTCAGAAATGTAGCTGACCAGCATCAGTTGTCAGAAGAAATGAAAGCTCTACTCAAGGAACTCGAAAAGGAAAGCAAGCAATAAGATGAAAATTAAAGATTGGCATAGATGCTGATTGACATATCCCAACTTCGCAAATATTCCACATGAAAATTTTATACCATACTGAAAATTACTGCTCGATTTTTGACGTATTTGCTTCAGCTTGCGCCGCTATATTATATTACTCGAAAAACTTTTCAGTTTCAATCGAAAAGTGTAATTTTGTCCAGATGTTTTAAGCATTTCCTGCCGAGAATTTCGCCATTTGAAGAAATCACTTTTAACGAAATCTCATCCTCGATGTAATATTTTCAAGAGCAATTTATATTTTTTTGTCTCTTTATATATGGGCCTTGACAAAATTTTCTCATAAAAATTGGATATTAATTATTTTTGCTTGCTAGGATTATACAAAGCGACTGCTTTCGGGAAAATTTTGTTGAATCCCACCAATTTATATAAGATGAAAACGTACTTAGATGACTATGTTGTGGTTAGCAATTCTAACTCTAACAATACCCTTGAGATTTTTATGCTAAATTATTTGTTTTTGTTATAGCTGTTATTTTTTATATATGTATATTGCTTTATTGTAAGTTAAGGTTACCGATTTGTATAAATTTGAAACAGATGGAAATACTTAGTGTTATGTGGTTGAATTCACTGTGCTATATGATTACCTCCAATTTTCCCTCGAGATTTCATCAGGTTAGTGGTTTTTCCTGTTTAACAGCGCTCTGGTAAATTTGGAGGAATCAAATGGCTTCCAATATACCTGAATATATAACCTGTGTATCAAAACTATTATGATTAAAAGCTTTCGATATATCATAGTGTGTATGAGTATTATTATTACTTCGATATCCCCTATCTGCTGACAATCGTCCGAGAAAAAATTACCAAAAGGTGATGAACCAGCGAATAATTCTTCGATATCATCGGGCAATAATTTCTAATTTTCACATTCAGCTCAGAAAGCGGTTGAAATAATTAAATGAAATCAAAATTTGCTCTATTGTCGAAAGGAAGGTGATTCTCATTGACAAAGTATAGGTTGAATACACATCAAAGATTCACGGTAACAAATACATAAACATTAGAACATAATTCAAGATAAACAATATTTGGAGCAGTGAGCAATATAGTTGAAACACAAAAACGAATAGCTTGTAAAAAAATAGTGCATTAATGACTCACTTACAAACTAGAGCAACAGAAATGTAGAAATGGAATGAAATAAAATAAATGAGGATATAGAATAATACACTTCGTTCCAAAAAAAGGGACGCACTTGATATTTGACCTATCTTTAAGAAAAAATAGTAGGCCGATTTTTATTTTTTTTATTTGTTGGTAGGTAATGCATTTGTCTTTGAAAAAAAAATAAAGAGGTGAACATTTTTTCAAAGCCTCCTTGATGGTGGTGGAATAACTCGAACCATGATTTATTCTTGATTTTTGACTCACCCTGTGTGTTCATTGAGTAATGGCATAAAAAAAGTGCTTACACCCTATACGAAAGAGGCTTTTTTTGCGAGCATTTTGTTTTTCTATTCATTCTCCAACTTCCAACTCGAATTACTGCATTCTCGTAGGAAATCACTATCATTCCGTGCTCGTTGAACAATATACTATTTCATCATTGCAACTTGCTGCTGATCAAGGATCTCCAACGAGAACAGTGAGTGGCTAATTCTTTCTCACTCACCCTGTGGGAGTGACATCACAGAATTTTTCTGCGAATTCGATTTCCTTGACTACGTAGTTCTGTCAACGATGTAGGAATCTCTTGTTACTCAGTGAAGAATTCGTGCAAAATTTCTGTATCATGTTACGTAATATTTTGTGTAAGCTACCTGTGCTAACCACCATATCTGTGAGTACAATTTTCTGTGTTTATTATTATAGAATTTCGTTTCTATCGAATATGAATCAGCTTCCTTTCAAAACTTCAGTATGACAAGTCATTCTGACAATATGGATACAGGGGCTATCAGCGGACGATTTTGGTTGAATTTAACAGCAGACAAAAGACCCATCTTGCTCTCCTTGACATAGCGAAAGCATTTGACAAGGTGTGGCATGATGGTATCTTATACAAAATGATCGATATGAGCTTTCCTGACGATCTGATTCAGTTGATGTGTTCATTTCTGAAAAATCGAACTTTTCAAGTAAAACTTGATGATCAACGATCTGGTATCAAGCCCATTGAAGCTGGTGTTCCTCAGGGTGCAGTTTTATCTCCGCTGTTGTACAGTTTATATACTAGCGATATGCCGAGACTAGTGATGTGCAAGATGTCGCTTTTTGCTGATGATACGGCAGTTCTTGCATATTCGACAAATTTCGAGCAAGCAGCTATGAACCTCCAAAGCGCACTGAATTCCCTTCAGGAGTACTTCCTAAGATGGAAAATCAAATTGGATCCTACAAAAACACAATTGGTCGCACTCGGAAGGGAGCGGTGGCCTCCCAGAACCAGAATAGTCCTGGATGGTCATGAGTTAGAATGGTCTTCACAAGTTAAATACCTAGGTGTGTGCATTGACAAAAAGCTCACCTGGGCCCAGCACATTGAACAGCAAGTTTCGAAATCTAAACGAGCCATTGGAGCCCTGTATCCATTTCTAAACAGACGAAGTAAATTGGGTTTGAGACAAAAATTGAATATTTATATCATGGCTATCAGGCCAATTTTACTGTATGCCTCAGTAGTCTGGGGCCACACAGCTAAATTTCATATCACCAGATTACAAGCATTACACAACAAAATCGCGAGAATGGTGACATGATCTCCTTGGTATGTTCGGAATAACCAGATCGCCTGGGATCTGAAACTCCCTTTAATCGTGTCAGTCATTAGAGAACGAAACATCAAGACTTTCGAAAAAGTGGAGGTTCATATGAGAAGCAGCTTCTTCGAAATGCAGTTGATTATGACCCAGGTGATCAATCATAGTTCAAAAGACCGAGATTGTCCATAAACTAGAGAAAATATCGACATTATGACCAAATTCACTATTCTCAAGTTTTTGATATTCATATATTCCGTTCGATCTCTTTCAATTCTCAGAATGTATTTCTGAAACTTATTTGGGGCAGAAGGGCTGTTCGCATCAAACTTCAATACCGTTTTTATTTTGTTCCATAATAGATATCAGGATAAGAGGAACTCTTCCCTGGTCTGAATAAAATAAAAGAAAGATCCAATATATATATATTTCCACAAAATAATCAAAAACAAGACATGTCTTGCCAACACAGTAACTTCGGTAAAATTTCACCTATCATGGTTTTGTTCAGAAATTTTTTTGGTATTTACGTATTTCTTGATGGAAAACAGGAATTTCATAATGAAAATGTGGAAAAACCATTATTTATTGAGGGTAAAACTGCATTTATCATGCGATGTTTTTTTTTCGAAAACTTTTTTTGGTACTTTTTTGGTATTTTTGTCTGAAAAACACGAATTTGATAATGAAAATGTAAACGAACCATTATTTATTGAGATATTTGACTACGAATTTCACCTTCTTTTCCGCCTGTCTTCTGGATGGCATTTAGAGCAATTTCCCCTTCATTTTCCATCATATTAGACAATTTATATATATCACAATGTATGACAAATTTTCTTCTATCAAATGATTCCACTATAATGAATATGATTTCCTTGAGATTCTTATCATACCTATTAATAAGTGAAAAGAAGGAAGAATATCATTTAAAATCATGGCTTCCAAAGCAATCTATTGACATTTGACATCTCGTATTTTGATTGACTATTGATTAAATGGCCGTCATCTGGAATCCTTGTTCACTCAATATGAAAAACTCGCAATAAAAATCATATTTCCTGTTGAATTTTCTTTATAAAAATAAAGGCGAAATTTCGAACTTTTTCTTGAAATATCTCGATAAATAGTGGTTTGTTCACAATATCAAAACCGTGTTTTTCAGACAAAAATACGTAAGTATCACAAGAAATTTTCGAGAAAAAAACTATCGCATGATAAATTCAGTTTTACCTTCATTGAGATATTTCACAATGAAGTTACAAATTTCACCTGTCTTTTGGATAACATTTAGGACAATTTGTCCTCTCTTTTTTCATTGGAGAATTCATATATCACAATGTACATCGTTAAAACAATTTTTTTCTAAACTACTCAACATTGATTTCGTCGTACCCCAAAACACAAAATGTTGCCTCTGTTGAAATATGAATAGCTTTTTTCTGCTTCACACTGTTCGCTAGCCCAATCCTTCAGTTATAATCTCGTTCTTCTTCGAAACATAAGGTTCCTTACATAAAATCGCTACTGGATGTTAGGTACCTGAAACTGTGCAAAATTTCGGAGATTTCAAAATTATCACAAATTGGGAAGAACTTTTTTTTACAACTTTGAGAGTAGAGGCATGTAGATGATCTCATTATCTTGGGACAGTACTCGAATTGTCTCCTTATCTCTTTCATTCACAGGGTGATCTCAAAAAATTAACTTTTTGGTTTTGGTTCGAAGCTTAAACTTCAGATGAAGAGATATGAAGATCAGAATTTGACTCAAGATGAACACTTCTAATGGAAGTACCCTTGTATCTGTCGTAATTGTTGAGTTTGGATTCTAAAATTTGTAAAAGTGGTAGATAGACTGAAAATACATAATATGACCAAGTGGAGTCAGCTCCAGTGATATACACTGCTCGCCAACAGCCATGGAACCTCCCACAAAAATGATATAAGAAGGCAAGATAGATTGAAAATCACTCCGGATTCAATATCAGGACGTCCCTTTCGCTTCCCCCTGCAAATTGCAGAACCTCACCTCAATAATTACGTGATATACGGGGGAGAAGTGAGACAAGATTTGATTTTTCTGAAGAGAACATTTTTCAGAAAAAATATGTATAGTCAGTGAATTGGACGTCCTGATTTCGAATCCGAAGTGATTTTCAACCTATCATGGCTCCAAATAACATTTTCCGGAAATTTTGGTGGTTCCATGGCTGTGGGCGAGCTGTGTTTATCACTGGAGATGCCTCCACTTGGTCGTAGTGTTTATTTTCAGTATATCTCCTGCTCCTGTAAGTGTCAACAACCTAACTCAACAATTACGAAACGTACAGGGGTGCTTCCATTAGAAAGTGAGACACACTGTATAATGTTCATCTTGAGTCAATTCCGATCTTGATATCTCTCCATCTGGAGTTCCAGCTTCGAAATGAGATTTCAAAAACCGGTTAACAAGAAAAGAGTTATGACTGCAAAACCAGAAAGTTAATTTTTTGAGATCACTCTGTGAATAAAAGAGATAAGAAGACGATTTGAAAAAATATCTCCGTGTGACGAAATCAGTGTTTCGTAGTTAATTATATGAGTCAACTAGATATATAATTTTCTTGCAAACTGGGCAGTGAAGTGCACGTTTTTGAGATGAAAAAGCATAAGGGATAAGGAAGCCTCTACCCCCAAAAACGTATCCTACCCTGTAGATTATGAAAATCTTCAAATGGGTGAAATAATGATCTTCTAGGAAGTATTGACCACCAAATTCCAAAATAGTATCTCATAAAGTGAGCGTGATATGTCAAATAATAAAAAAAAATCATTACACTTCGACTCCCTGTAGCTCCGCTACTGAACGAGATCGGACTAATGTTTAAATAAACTTTTTTGATTAACATGATGAGATCTATCTTTCATTTCAGTGTGTACCTGAGAAATTGAATCACCCTGTATATACTATATAATTGCGTTATTCGTATGATAATTTCAATATGTGAACTGTCTGTAACCATTACGCTCCACTTGTTCACTGCATTCATACGTTACATATAAAATGTTGTTCATTGAAATCTAGTCATTACTTTCATGTGATTCATTCCTGGCGTGAGATTAGTTAGTTAACCTTAACCGAGACGCAAAGCGCACACATTGTATATGGTTCTATTTATTTTTACTTCCTTATCACCACTCAATTGAGTCTACGAGAACAATTTTTGTCTTATCAATAATTGGTAATTACTGGATCAGTTTGAGAATGTCTGCAATAATAATGCAATACATAAATGTCAAATATACGAATCATCATTCATCGCTAACACGATATCTGTAGAAGCCAACACCCAAAAATTATTTTTCTGGGGTCAAAAAAGTGGTGAAAATGAAGTAAACATAAAATATATCATACACTGTGCATATATATTTTTGTGATCACAAAAAATCACAGATTCCGAAAAGAATATGGAAAACAGGATGTTTCATTGAAAAAAAGAATTCGTTGTTGGTCATGCTTTCAGGGATCACCCTGTAAAACATCTCATAAAAGATGTGGAAACGCCTCATTGTTTTTTTTACTCTATCAGAAAGTAAGGTAAATATAGCCATTTCGATGGATAACCCTGTACATATAAGCTCTTATAAAAGCGAACATCAATCGAGTGTCAACAACAAGATATCTTTACGCAAAATATGTTGCTCTTCACATTCAGAATCGAATTACTTTCTCAACTATTTCGGCACCGAATAACTTGTACAATACTCTTCAAGGACGTTCCCGCATCACCCTATAATGTTAGCTTGCTGAGATCTCTATCTCCGACCACTCACGAATGCCGAAGAAACACGAAGAAAAACAGTTCCAGACCATATTCCAAGTACATCCACAGAAGGTCTAACTCCTTTCCATCTGCTAATCCAAAAACTTCTCAGTCTGAGAGGCTGGTGCAGCAGAGGACCTGGAAAGAACCTTTTTCACAAGGCTCCAATAGTAAGATTATATCAGTAATCAGTGTGAGAGATGAAAAAGAGTCATTTTCATGTTTTTCTAGGTTCGAAGTTAGTCAACAGACGTGACTTGCACCAGAAAATCGATGCCTCCTTCCGAAAAGAACATTCAGAAATCGAGAGACGCAATGAAATACAAAAAACAAAAGTGAAAGGAACCGTCCCTGAACCTGCCACGGAGGACAAGAAATACTACGACAACTATGAAGTCACAGAACAATACGAGCTAGAAGCTTCCAAGCCGAGAAGAAGTCAAAGCGAACTAGTCTTCAATGTCTTCGAATACATGGAAAAACTAGAAAGTGACTATGACCCCATAAACTACCTTCAACCCAACAACTTGAGACCATTCGGCTCCATGGATAATGTTTACTACCCCAACATGATGGGAAGCAAAGAGCCGAATGTGATGCGATACCCTCAAACCTATAATGCAGAAGAAACTGAGCTTTCTAGTACGGTGAAGAAGACCAAGACGAAGGATGATCTCCAGCAGAGAGAATACTCAACTAACACTAAGACTTTCCATAGCAAACCACAAGGTCCCGTGGACCTCATAGACAATCTTCCACCATTTGACGAATCCGGTCATTATGTTAATGTCAAGCCCAAACCAAATCATAATGCAAAGAAACCGGTACCAGTGAAGTACTTCGTGAATAAGCCCAAACCGAACAAGGAAGTTGAGGAGGCTTTGGGTGTAGCAGAGGAATGTAAAAAGAAATTGATCAAATCGAAATACAACAGCGAAGAAGAATCCAAAAAGAATGTTCATGAGTCTCATAAGTTACCTTGGTGCGAAGACTTCCTCACTAAAGAAGAACACACAGAAACTTTGATCAAACATACCATATCTAATAAACCAACAGTCAAAGTCGCAACTCCATGGCTTTCCTACTCTGATACTTTGAAGAACCAATCTCCAAAAGATGATTACCCTCTGGAACTAGATGTAGATACAGAGATAAAATCACCTCTAAGACAGATGAACACCAAACCTTCGTCTCCTCAGAAACGAAGTCTCAATATAGAAACGTACCAGCCATCAGATTCGAATAATAATCACGAAAACATTTTGCAGCGACAAAATACTGCTGGTACCTTCCAAAAAAGAAACCTAGCTACAGAGCCAGTGTCAAAAATCAATATCGCCAAAAACACCAAGAGTAATTTGCATGTCTCAGTCGTATCGACAATGTTGCCAATGAAGAAAAAGTTTGTGAGAGAGAAAACTTTCGTGAAGTCGAATCACTACGCCAAAACTGCTCGACCACTAGAACCTAAGAGTTGCGAGAAGCCTCTCCAGAAGAAAAAATGTTTCCTTCCATCGAAAGTCAGACTGAAACCACCTGTTTGTACCCCCAAACCTCCCCCTTGTCCGATCAAAGAACCTTGCGAAAGATCCGACGACTGCTTGAGAATAAAACCTAAAAAGTTGCCAGTTCTAGAGACTTCTAACTGTCCATGTGTCGAAGATGTGGTTCCAGAGATCAATCCCAAGATGAAGCGACTTTGTTTGAAGTTTCCAGACCCTCCTAGAGTTTGCCCACCACCCCCTTCTTGTGGCCCTAGAGCTGACGACAACTTGGTCGCAAAACCTAAAAAACTGGTAATGTTAAAACCCAGTGACTGCGTTTGCGTGGAACCCCCTCCAATGACCGATATCAAATTCAAGAGGTTACAGAAGATTTGTGTTCCAGAAGAGAAATGCTATCCGAAAACTGAATGTCCTCAGCCACCCCCTTGCGTAAGGGCAGACGATAAAGTTATCATTTGCGAGAAACCACTGCCCCAATTGAAAGCCGGGTATTGTCCATGTGTTGAGCCTGAAGTGCCTGATAAGAATCCCAAAATGCGTAGGCTCAAGTTCACTTTCAAAGATCCTCCGAAGCCCAAGTCATGTGAACCTATCAACCCATGCCCACCTAGAGCTGATGATCGTATGCCTGAAAAACACAAGAAACTACCGATATTCAAACCTAGCGACTGTGTATGCATCGAACCCCCTCCCATGGTCAACGTACCGCTCAAAAGATTAGAAAAAACCTGCGTTCCGGAAGTGAAATGTTATCCAAAAAAGGAATGCCCAAAACCTGAACCATGTATCAGAGCGGACGACTGCTGGGAACTGAAAATAAAACCCCTCCCAGTCATCAAGGATGGACCCTGCATATGCATAGATCCTTTCGTCCCAGATAAAATTCCCAAGCTCAAAAAGTTGGATGTAGAGTGCGGAGACCAGCCAAGACCTCGGACCTGCCAACCAGTGAACCCGTGTCCACCAAGAGCCGACGAAAGTATAAAACCGAAGATCAAGAAGCTACCTCTCATAGAAATGGGCGACTGCAAATGCATCGAAGCCCCTGATATGACAGATGTGCCACTGAAGAGGCTGCAAAAGGTCTGCGAGCCAGAAGAAAAATGTTACCCCAAGAAAGAATGCCCTGCGCCGGAGCCTTGCCTGAGAGCGGATGATACTCTCTGTTCCAGAAAGAAACGGTTACCGATTCTGGAGGCTAAAGAGTGTCCTTGTGTGGAAAGCCCACCGCTGAAAGAAGCGCCAGCGCTGAAGAGGCTGGAACTCAAGGTGTGTGAGCCTCCGAAGATATGCCCCAAGCCGAAGGTATGCGATGAAGTGCCTAGGGCTGACGACCACTGGAAGGGTAAGGCTAAGAAGCTGCCAAAGCTGAAACCTGGAGATTGTCCTTGCGTGGATCCACCTATGGTTGAGGCACCATGTTTGAAGAGACTGGTTTGCAAAGACGATCCAGAAGACTGCTTCGAGGAAGATCCATGCATAGACACACCAAGAGCTGATATGGGGTGCTGGGAGTACTATAACTCCGAAGAGCAAAAGTGCAACAACACTAAGAAAAGTAAGAAGGGAGTGAGCTATAATAGTAAAAGGCGATACAATACTGACTCTAGGGTGAATTTGTTCGATGAGGTCAAGAATGCTGTGAGGAATAGAGAGATCGAAAGGAATGGAACAGCAGTTGAAACTGGTAGGCTGAATGAGGTGACTAAGAAAGAGGGTTTGGGAGTGGTGAAATTACTAAACAGTAACTCAACTCCTACATTTGCGCTATTGAATGACCTCAGAGAATTGGAGAAAGAGACTCCAAGCCGTTTAGCGTTCGAAACGAAGAAACAATATATCGGAAAGATGTCGGAAAAGTATCCATATCGACAAGACTACGACTGTGGTACATCTGTCAGGAAGTTGAGTACTGTCGTGCCAAATATGCCTCAAGATCCTATAAGGAAGAAGAAATGTTTGGATATAAAGATGCCGTGCGATAAGAAGAAGAAGCAGCCTACGTGTCATAAAATTGGCTCTCCTTGTAGTCTAACGAAGTTGAAATGTGCTAGCACTAAATGTCCGGTGAATTGTGAGAAAGAGAGAACTCCGATTTGCTGCGAAAAGAAAACTTCACCTTATCCAGCATTCTCTGAATTGGCAGAGGAGGAATTGGAACCTTTTTCAGAGACCACACAGTACACATGTAGTCGCAAAGACTATGGTTTTCATCCGAGATACAAGAGACTGAATGATCCGCTATCGAAAGACAATAATAAGAAGAAATATAGTACGTTGGTTGCCAATGAAGAAGCCAGGGGTAGAATGGAGCAGAATTGATCTTAGACTATATTCACTAACTATCTCTTTTCATTTTCAGACAGCAATCTCTCCAACAAAGTATACATTCCACGGTTACACTCAGCTAACAACGACTTAAGGTTAGAAACCAATGGTACATAGGCTACTCCACATCTCATTGTAATGATAAATATCAAATTCTGTTTTAGCAAACCTGGAATCATCTGTGGCTCCAGGAGATATTAAATGCACATCACCAATACGTAAAATAGCTCCGTTAGTAAATAAATTATGTGAGTTAATCATCTCTGACCAAATAGTTTTCTCGAAATTATCCATATCACATTCTTCCAGCATATTTTCCACTAGAACAAAAATTCTGCCAACTTCTGAAGCAGAAAGCAAACTATGGAATTATTGGGATTGACACCACGATACCCAGGATTTCAAGCTATGGAACATCAACAATCCTTTCTCGCTCTCAAATTGAACCTGGCCTCTCCAGAAATATATATGTCTACATGGGAAAGAGTGAGCGAGCCTTAGAGTACCATGTGGAGATATATTAACTATCAAATTTGCAGGTCAATCTCTCAGTACCTCACTCTTCAGGTACAAGTCAACTTCAACTGAGAAAAACAAGAAATGCAAACCAAAGAAGAAGAAATGTCCAAAATTCAAGATGGAGAACTGCCCAGAACCGACTGTCCGACCCGCATGCAAAAGAAAACGTCCCGTCTACGTCTGTGTCAAAGAAAAATCGAGAGCACCTTACCCAGCATTCACCGACTGCCTAGACGAAGAGCTAGCAGAAAACTTAGCCGAATGCCCTTTGCAACGCGATAAGATACGACAAATGCAGCCGAGCTGCATGGATCCTCTCGACAGACCAAAACTCACGAAACCAGTTGAGCCCGTGGTAGGCAAAGTCGATCCATTGAAGGAACACGAATGTGTAAAGGCAAGATTAGCTATCGATAATCAGGGTCTCTCTCAAAGTTGCCATGATTTCGGTAGATTCCAGAAAGTCATGAGAGCCAAAGACTACCTCAAAGAAGTGAACAGAGACTGTACCGAGATCGAGCGGATGAGGAAGCTGGGAAAGTGGCCCCCAAAAAATTCCAGAGGCTTATGCAGTGCTTCTGTCGACTTGTTTTCCTTCCAGAAACGTGGCATGTGCGGATATCTGAGATATCCGAATGCGAAACACTCTCAAGCACAAGAAGAAGTCATCGAGGAAAAACCAAACTTGAAACTTAAACCAAAAACTGGCAGCCTGAAATTCAATGCTTGCCCCAAGAGCATATACATAAGGAAATATCACGTGCTATGCATCAAACCCGAGAAGAAAGTAGTAGACAATTTCGATATCAAAATGAACGAAGTTTCCCAGCACCAACTAACTGAAGATGACTCCTGCAAGTTTATGAAGCTGCGGAACGTCCAATGGAGGATAAATAACTTCCAGAAGTGGCATCGGCTACAGAGGATGATCAGCACACCAGATTGCCCCAAGAAATATTCGAGAACATCAACAGGTGTGAAAAAATTAGCTTTCTTAGGACAGAGCCAGAAAACTTTCAGCACCTCAGCAACGAAGCTAGTTTCTCTCCCAGAGCCTTTGGAAGCTTTCGTGCATCGAGGGATATCTACTACCTATATCTTATCTCGAGCTGAAGATGATAAAAATGGTATTTTTGGTTTGAAAGGAAAGTGTCCCAAAGGGTCGAAATCTTGTCCTAAGTTGTCGCTACCGAATTGTTCAAAGAAGAAACGCAAAACATGCGAGTGGAAATACACTGGCAGACACTGCAAGAAGCTTGATTCACCTTACCCAGCATTCTCCGAGTGCAGGGACTACGATATCAGTCCCAAAATATGCGAGTGTCCAGTGCTGAAAGAACAGATCCAGCAGCTACAACCCCAATACCCTATTCTGCCAGAAATCAGCTCAGGTTTTCTTCCTGAACTCCCTCCGCAGCAAAAAGTGGATGTAAATATTGAGGAAGAGTACGTCAGACACAAATATGGCTTGGAGAAAGAAGGAGTCACTTTGGATTGCAGTACCTTCGGTCTCAAGAGAAAACCACTATCCTGCAAGATAGCCAAACAAAAATATGAGAACGTGTCTGAACCTGCAGAAGATGAATGCAAGCAACAATGTACTGAGGAAATCGTTGAGGTAAAAGAGGTTCCAAGCTGCAGCGCCCACACAGAATGGTGTAGGTCGGATAAGATGAATGGTACTCCACCTAGAAGAACCCTAGTGGATGACTGTCGTAAACCATATCCAGAATTTAGCAAACCAGAGGTTTCTACACAGCAGGTGGTGAAAAAATGCGATCCAAAAGTCGAAGCACCAACCGAGGATTCAAATGAATACGAAGAAACTGCGAAACCAACTGAAGCAAACGACGTGAACAATCGTCCCAAGATGAACCCTTGCTTATGTAAATTGAAGCCTCCTTGCGAGAAGAAAGATCTAACTCTATGGCAGAGGATAGTCAATTACTTCAAAGCTAGACCGAACTGTCCAGCCCCAGACGATTGGAAGAAGAAAGCTGCAAGAGAAAAAGCAGAGAAGTACGCTAAAGCTGCTGGCTTGGTGGTCTGCGACCCTAAACAACTACCCAAGAAAGGATCATGCTGTGTTGAAGAACTTCCAAAGGTTATCACTCCGAAATGTCCAAAGTTTCCATACAGGAATGAAGCTGACAAAGGTAGAAGGTCATTCAGTACCACCTGTATGGTTCAGGACAAACGAGTTAGGAATCTCAATCTCATTGCACGAAGCCAGTCTTCTGTGTGCCACAGGTGGTATAGTACTGGTCCGCCAATGGGCGATGAAGACAGAGATAGTCTTGACGGAGAAGAAAACATGACGTGCAAGAAAGATACAACAGCTGGTAGCGAGAGGAGACACTTCAGTACCATGAGAAATGCAGATACTTTGGAGGATGCAACCAAAAACCTAGATGGTGCAGCCATTCCATGTGAACACTCTGAGATAGACAGTAACGTTGGTTTCAATGCCTATATCGAACCAGATGAATCAGATATACTCGATGAGGAAATTATAAGAAACTTTGGAATCAATGACATGAATAGCAATGATGGAATGCTGATTGATACTAGTGAGAGCCTCAATACTGTACTATATCCAGGAAATGATGTAGCCGATGCCTATGATGGTATTGAGGAGAATTTAGTTGATGAAACATTTTTGAATGAAGTAGATGATTGCACACTTGGGAATAAAGATAATGTTAGGAAATGGAGTACAGAAGGAAGTGGTCAAACCGGAAGACGTTACTACTCTAGGAACGTGAATTGGCGTAACCTGGAGGACATAAACAAATCTTTGGAGGAGGAAGAGAAAAAGAGACTGGTCAAGAAGATTTTGAAACCGTACCTGGAAGGTGCAACTAGAGAACATGAATCTGAAGATGATTGTGATGATAATATCCAGAGGAACTTGGAACAAAACCAGGAAGATATTACCAGTAGGAACGTGGTAGAGACTGAGAACGAGACGGCAAGTTTTTCGAGGCACGTTAGTCAGAGGAAGCTGAGCTTTTTCGATGTTATTTTTCATGAACCCATGAACGATACGATGGGTTACAATCAGGCTAGAGCTTTTGCGGCTTTCCAAGAGTTTTTCCACAAAATCGAAGTGTTTTCAGATGTCAATTATGAGGAAGTTGGTGAGCATATACTTTTGAATTCATACATTCTTTCAATTCTAGTGATAGATCTCAAAGTTCATCTACTATTATTGGATCAAATTCTGAGATGGGTTCTTTGTTTTCTTGTTTTTCTTCTCTGCACGGGTGACCGTTTGCATAGACTCTTGCACTCAGGCCTCTTCAGTCGAGCCCATTGTACGCCCACATGGTCTGTGAAGCAGCAGCTTCCTCAGCTGAATCACTTCCACATCCTTTCTTGGGAAAACCACGTGAGATCAATTGCTGAAAGTGCATCCCAAAAACTTGGTTTTCTGTTTCGGACCAGGAGCTATTTCACTTCCAGTTAGCTGCTTGTGATCTATAAGGCACAGATCCGACCTGTCCTGGAATACTGTTCCCATATTTGGAGTGCAGCACCCAAACATACCCTGAAACTGTTGGATTCTGTCCAAAAAAGGGTAAATAGTCTCGTGGGTGATGCCTCGCTCACAAACTCACTCACTTCTCTGGAACACCGTAGAAAAGTTGACGAACTGGCTCTATTTTATAGATATCTTCATGGACGATGCTCTTCTGAAATATCAACAATTGTTCCTCCCTTGGCAGTCCCCGCGAGATTAACCCGTCGAGTTGTGGCTTCGCACCCTTTCGTGTTCACTTTGGAGACCTGCAGAACATCTCTTTCGCAAGACTCGTTCATCCAACGAACAGCGAGGCTCTGGAACACATTGCCAAGGCAGGTGTTCTCCGAGGTATATAACCTCCAAAAATTTAAGAACAACACCAATTCCTACCTTATTTCCCTCGGTTCTCTCGATGTTTTCTGAATATCACAGGATATCCCTTTTCGTGGGAACCAGAATTAACATGAGAAAAATACAATGCTTCCAAAGGCAGCTTTCCTCTGATGCCTGTTGTAGTTGTGTCCAGTTAACAGTCCAAATACCATGTTGAGATCTCTTTTATTGAGTGACAGGACCTCTCTCGTGAGCCTTTTTGAAGGTTCCTTTATATAAAGTTTTGACTGACATGTGTTATCAATGTCCCAATTGAAGATATATTTTTGTTTCAGAGAAAAATAAGACTAAAAAGATGGTGCAGCAATTGGATGAGTTGATGATAGACAAAAATCAAAATAAAGAGGACTAATCAAAGTGATAAATTTATATATAGGTATTGCCCTTGTACCTGTTGAAATTTGAATAGATGTCGCTAACTATTTGTAATATAATAATGTCATTCCCACGAAGTTCATGCCTGATACATATTCCTTGAAAAATACACTTTATCTGAATTCGAGATAAGTTTCAACTCTTTTGTCTAGCTTCGACTATTTATTGAAGATTTTCTTTTTTTCGACACAATGAGATTATCAACAAACATTGCGACGAGTGATTATAATATCATTTTCTTTGAAATGTCTGAGGTCATAACATTCTCAATCAGGCATTTGCAGCAATTATAGCTCTCTGATCAGAATGTGCATTATTGGTTGTTGACGAAAACTCATCAAATTTCAACATGGAAAAATGTGTGATGTCGAAAGGTAAGTTAACAAAAAATAAATCATTATCCAATTAGGATTCAGTGCAAAAATGTATAGTTTGTGAGTCATTCAATAATTCCTTTAGGAATCAGAGAGTTCTGTTCTGGAAGAACCATTCTATGGTATATGGTTTTTACTGGAACAGCTGTGAACTACATGATAAGGCTCAATCTAAACATAGCTTTAGTGTCTATGGTACAACCAAAACCAAGAACCAATCTGTCACTAATCGGTGAATGTGTCATAGAAAGTGAGTCTCTGGTTAATGACAGTTTGCCAAGGAATTTCTCCAGTTTATATGATGGAAATAACACTGGAATATTATTGGTAAGTGTCCCAAGCTATTCAGTAGGAAATTTCGAATTTTCAAGTTTTCAGATTTCAGTCAGAATCATCTCGTTTCTGGATTGTTTTTTTGAGTTCAATGATGAATATGAAACTTTTTAATATAGTCAGATGATTGATATCCTTGTTCTGAAATATCTAGGAGCAGAATGAGGAATTCTCAGGTGTGGGATTGACATTTTTCAGAATTCAACTCAAAGCTTCTCGCTGGCTTCTAAGTTTGATTGGAATGAAAGAGAGCAAGGTCACATCTTGGGGAGTTTTTTCTGGCTGCATTGGATCACTCAGATACCTGGTGGGATCCTGGCTGCCAAATATGGTACCAAGCTGGTATTCGGGGGGTCCAACCTAATGGGGATAATCGCTTGCCTCGGTATACCGTGGTTTGCAAAAAGGGGGGCTGGGTATTTGATTTTCATCAGAGCCCTTCAAGGATTACTGAGCGTGAGTACAAAAAAATACAGATATATTATTTATTTATTGAAAATGTTACTTCCAGTCAGAATCAAGTTCTGGTATAAGGAAGTATAGTTAACAATAATATCTAAAACTATACAATTATAATAAACTAATAAATAATATAATATTTGAAAACATTAGGTATTAAATTTTGACAAATCATCCCATATTGGTTAGCAAAAATCAATTTGAATATGAATCAAAAGTTGAAAAAAAAAAGTCATCTATTTCGTTCAGAAATGATAAATTTTTTAAGATGGTATTTGAATTTTATTGTATTTCTGCAATTTTTTATATTATCTGGTAATTTGTTATATTCCAAGATAGCAGCGTGGGTGAATCTTTCTTGTCCTATAGAAGTATTAGCGATATCAAGATGAAATTAACCATGTTGTCTAGTTCGATAATTATGAATTTCATTGTTTCGTGTTAAAATAAAATTAGATTTCAATCTTTTATTCATGATATTGTATGTAATTTCCAGTCTTTCGATTTTGAAAATTTTTCCTGAGTGAATGATTCAGTTATTTTACATAATTGATTTGTTGGTGTATCATAATTATGGTAAACGATACAGTACTTTCAATGTCTTTTTATATAATGCAGATATTTTATTAATTGTTTTTTGAACAGACATTCATCAAATAGTTAATACAACTGAGTTTATGAGAATATAGAATTATATTTGCAACTTTTTTATTCAGCTTGGGACATCTTCTCAGGGCTCCAATAATAGGAGATATTTTTTTCGTCAAGACATTTATATGTTTGTCCCACTTTAATATAATCATCAAACCAAATCCCAAGATATTGCTTCTCATTAGTTTGTTTCAAAGATTCATTTTTAATTCTGAGATTTAAATTTATATTTTGTTTATTTTTTTGTTGAAAAATCATATATCCAAAATACTACTACTGAATATGTAATATTTTGGGTATCTGATCATTATTTCTAAATCAATTGAACAGCAGGAAGAAGAACTAAAATCAGTAGCAATACTATCAATACTTCAGAATATTCTGGTTATATATACATCGATAGGTTGTTGCATGATTATAAAAAGTGTCAGTTTGACAGATACAATAATGCGACTGCGTGAGGATTATTCTGTTGAACTGACACGATTTGTAATTGTGCAGGAAGTTTGAGATGTGTAACCTTGAAGATTTTGAAGGTTATGTTTCAATGTTTTACCTCGGCCATCGGTCGAATCTTGACGACGTGCTTTGCTTGTATGTAACAATATAAACTGACCACTAATACCACTATGGAAATGTAGAAAATCCTGAATTTCTGATTATTGGAACTACATATATTCGAAATTATACAAGGTAGCTCAGCTCAATTGACCGTTCTGATTGGTTGAAAATCATACTGAGCAAATAATCATTATCATATATCGAGTTATTATTTTGACTAGGGATTTGCGTGGCCTTCAATGCACAATTTGACAGCAAAATGGATTCCACCAAACGAGAGGAGTCGATTCGTCACATCCTACCTAGGTGAGTAATAATATAACATACACAATTCAACCAAACGTAGATGATCCATAACTGACAGTGGAAGTTATATAAATCAGGAGGGGTGAAAGAACTTACAGTCACAACTCCACCATAAAAACAATTTTAGAATGACCAACTGTCATGGACATAAGGACATGTTTCGAAGGATTAATCCTTCATCATCAGCAAATTTATAAAAAGAAAATCATAATTGGCGGAAAAAGATTACTTAAATCACGTGAAACAAACTATTTTTACAGAACAGACATTATCACAGCTCTATAAGAGCTTATAGTTTTCAAACATAATTTGATATAAAGCAAATATTAGGTCGGTTAATTCTAATATTTGCTGAATCCTTCTGTTCTATTTATATATTTCAACTCTTTAGATAGATGATGAGATATATAATATCATTCTACTATGGAATATCGACTGTTTGTCTAAATTTAACTTATAATTGTTTGCTTTCAAAAAATATAATCATCTTGTTCAATAGGCATGGATAGTTAAAACTTTATTGATATTGAAATCTTTCGAGCTGTATGAATTCCTATTTGTTTTTAGAGAATCTGAATGAAAAATGCATCTCATTGTTTTATTTTGTGATTCCAGTTTAGTGGTCTGAAATAAGACACAAATAAATACTCTCCAAGCATCTAAGAGCTATAAAATTCAATTTCGCACTTATCTATTACTGCTTCATAATACCTTGGCAACGGTTGCTGCCGCTTATTATTAGTATTTATTTTCATTATCATTTCATTATATATTAAATAGAATCTGATCAGATCTATCGGTTCTTCGTTCGGAAATCAGAACGTAAAATGTGATTTTTTGTAGAGGTCAATGAAAAAAAAATTATAGGAACTTGATGCACTTGTTTCAATGTTTCAAATACATGCAAACAGCGACTAAAATATCAATTTTGCAACTTGTTTCATGAAAGAAGTTATTCACGTGACTATAATTTATTATTATGAACATCCAGTGGAAGTATCCTCAACACTATTTATATGAAACCGTTATAACTGATGCAATTTTAATCTGGAATTAGTGTCATCAAAACGGAAAACAACTAAATGGCAAAAACAAACATTATATAGTCTCATTGTCAATATTATGACAGCTTAAAATAGTAACCGACATCATAGATACTATCTTTTGAGGTCAAGGAATCTTATAAAAAAATTATCTGATACAATACATGAATGGAGAGTCATGATCAATTCATAAAATGAAGCTGATAGTAGGAGAGCCGACTGCAGATTTCTACCGTCATCCGATTACGAAATGATATATACAGTGTGTGCGGTTTCAACCCGCAACACCCTCCTAATTTGGAACTCGTCGACAAAACAAAAATTCCAATATATAGCACTCAACCAGCTCTATTCAAAAATGTGGACAAATTTGGAATATTCAGATCTTCAAGGCCGACTTTTGTTTGTTGAAAGGGTCAAGATTTCAAAAACGACTATTAGGCAATTTTTTTTTTCGAAATAGTGACTAGCCTATTCAATTCAGGTATAGCTGAAATACCGCTATACGGAATTAGAACGTAAGATCTCATATAGGGTGTTAGTTATTCAATGGCGAATTTCGATATTTTTGATTTTTCGATTCACCCTGTATCAAAATCTAAGGAGTCGATATAACCAGTGAAGTATTTATTCAACAGAGGAACACATCGAATACATAGGTACGAAGTTTCATCGCTGTAACTTCTACAGGAATTATAGATTTCAATGCAAACAAAACACAATACCTTTTCGCTAGAAAAGCTGATCTCACTGTGCCCAACATAAGCTTGTCAGGAGTAACCATACCTTTGAAGACATCCATTCCGATGCTTTTTCTTGGGGAAATCAAGTGAGATCAATTGGAACTTGGAACAAAACCAGGAAGATATTACCAGTAGGAACGTGGTAGACACTGAGAATGACATGGCAAGTTTTACGAGGCAAGTCAGTCAGAGGAAGCTGAGTTTCTTCGATGTTATTTTCCATGAACCCATGAACGATACGACGGGTTACAATCAGGCTAAAGCTTTTGCGGCATTCCAAGAGTTTTTCCACAAAATCGAAGTGTTTTCAGATGTCAATTACGAGGAAGTTGGTGAGCATATGATTTTGAATTCATACATTCTTTCAATTCTAGTGATAGATCTCGAAGTTCATCTACTATTATTGGATCAAATTCTGAGATGGGTTCTTTGTTTTCTTTTTTTTCTTCTCTGCACGGGTGACCGTTTGCATGGACTCTTGCACTCAGGCCTCTGCAGTCGAGCCCATTGTATGCCCACATGGTCTGTGAAGCAGCAGCTTCCTCAGCTGAATCACTTCCACTACTTCCACATCCTTTCTTGGGAAAATCACGTGAGATCAATTGCTAAAAGTGCATCACAAAAACTTAGTTTTCTGTTTCGGGCCAGGAGCTATTTC